GATGGTCTGTGGCGTATCAGCTGATGGTGACTTTATTGTGCTGTGTGGGCGGAACTTCTTTGTTTTGGCCGTGCCGCTGCTGGTTTCCCTTAAGCAATTGGAACAAAACGGTGGCCATGGCAGTGTTCCAAAATGCAGAAGTTGGAAAGTCACTTCGGGTCGTGTTGCTCAGTCATTGCTTGGGTGTGAGTCGCGCACTTCGCAGTGCTTGATTCGAGGGCTTGGGATTCATTTTCTAAGGTTCCTTTCATCGGACCCATGGGTTTTTGGGAGGTCTCTATAAGGCATAGGTTTAAGTGTCGAGTTCGAGGACCTCGTAGACGGGATATGGATACGCCTTTTAAATTTTGAATTCCAAACTCTCAACCCTAAAGAGGGGCCTTGAGATGAGAGGGCAGTGGTTTGGGTTCTTGAGCATGTGGCGTGTGTGTGTGTGTGTCTCGTAGGTGGAAGGATGATTGCTGAGTTGGAGGGAGATCCGGGGAGCACACCGGGGGTGAAGAGCAAGAAAGCGCTTCAGGAGACCTTCATCGCTCGGAACTCCATCCTCGCAGAGTACGGTGTGGTGGGGTTCGAGCTTGGCTACAGCTATCCGTCCAGATTCCAGGATGTGTATGCTTGAAGGATCAGAGGGCTTGATGAATAAGTTTGTTCGCAATCGGAGGGGAGGCTGCAAGAGCAAATTATCAGTATAGCTATCGCAGAGCCTGCGAGTTCCTTGCTTCAAGGTTCTCTCTCTTGTCTGGGATGAGACCCAGCGCTTTCCGCTCTGCTCAGGCTACGAAAATCCGACTGCGCTGGTGGTTTGGGAGGCGGCCTCTAGCAACAACCCCGGCCAAGCAAAATAGCAGTGCCCAAACACAACTAGTGTGATGACTGGTCCTGCAAGGCTTTAGCATTGAAGTGCATAGGCCATTGGCGATGCAAAAGTGCCTCGGGACCTGCGGAGCATATCTCAAGACCCCCAGGACAGCAATACCCGATGAAATGCCTTTCCTAACGTACGCTCGGAGGAGGCCGCGAAGTCGAAGATAGTTGACGCTTTCTTCCACGTAGACGAGTAGACCTATGCCCGATTTCAACTTGTTGGACGAGCTTCGACACACCGGCTACGGGATTGCATCCGGTTTGGATGCACTTGTCGGCTTCTATAAGACCCTTCAAGGGTTCATACAACGAAGCCCTATCCTGAGTCCGAGTGCCTTGGGTGTTTGCATCCTAAACACCAAAACCCGAGAGATTAATTTGAACAAGGGCCCTTCCTGCCAAGCTGCATCCTGCCTTGGTGCATGCAGGCCCAGTTTGGCGACTTCGCAAACACGGCTCAGGTGCCGGCAGAGCACCACCGTGCTTGACACTCATGTTCGCCAGAAGAACTCTAAGCCACTAAAGAATTGTTTGTTTATTGCCCACCAGTAGCGCCACAACCACAAACAACAACAGCACTATCTTCAACAGTATCGCGGCAGCGTCAGAATTCGTGTCGTTAGGCAGCATCGGTCCTTGTGGTCACCACCACCGCCCCCATCATCGTCACCATGATCTCCTCACCAGAATCATCATCATTCTTCTGGGTTTCGTGATCATAATCGCCTTGGTCACGGACATCTGTTGTGTGGATTCTGAAACCCGGTTCGTAACCCGCCCTGAGAAGCCGAACGGCTGTTACCGTGTTCTGAGCTTGGAGAGACCGAGGGCTCAAGCTCGGATGAAGGTTTACAAAAAAAACTGAGCCTATGAGTCTATGAGCGCACGAATCGAAAGTCGTTTCGGTGTTTTCCGTGGGGACTTCGATTGCTGGGGTTATGATCATCGATTCCTTAATAAGACAGGAAATCAAATCGCAATACATAAATCGAAAGAAAATCAAAAAAATCAAACAAAAATCAAATAAAAACCGAAAAAAATCAAAGGGGATTTCGGGGCGGGGGACCCCAGAGGCGGCCTTTGGAGGCGCCAGACAAACCCAAAGAAAAACATCGAAAAAAAATCAAATAAAAATCGAAAAAAATCAAATAAAAATCGAAAAAAATCAAATAAAGCTTTTTCCGATTTTTCATCGATTTTATTTCGATTTTTTTTCGATTTTGAAGACCTTCTGTCTTATAAGGAATCGAGGATCATAATGCTGGGGTGGGTTATCACTCGTCGTGAACATGCTTCAGCTAGTAAGTTGTTCCGCTGAGAGAGTAGAGGATGCCAGCCAAGGAACCCCGTCGAATCAGCCTTGCTGTCATGTGCCAAAGATGCTGCCATTGCAACGCCGCAACAGGTGATGACGGATCAGTTCATCTCTGCTGGAGATTCTCGGCTGGTAGGCTCGATAGGATCGGTGCATTCCACTCTCCATGCCGGAGGCGCAGGTCCTTGCACGTTTGGTTTGGAAGCTGGGGACCTTCAGAGACTTCTTCTTAGGTCCTAGGTATCCTCAGCCAGCACATCCGAAGGTCTCAAGGCTTTTGTCGCAGCAGAGTGGCCCTGGTCTAGCTCTCTACTTGGTGTACTGGATCTCCGCAAATCAGAGATGTGCACTGCAATCCCTGAGTGGTAGGATGTTGAATAGCACGGATTCGGGGGTGAAGGGATTGCTACGTGTCGGAAACCCCAAACCCCCAAATGTGTTAACTGGTTGATGGTCATCCTCCAGCCTTATTCCAACCCGGTGACAGCAAGACTCCACAATGACATCGTACGTTGCATTTCAAGGACAGGGAGTGCCGCAGCAGCAGCCGCAACAACATGATCATCATCCGCACAAGAAAGCACGAGCCAACAAGCACTGCTGCGACAGTTGATTTCAGTCAACGTCGCTCATGTAGCAAAAGACTCGGCGAAAAGCAATTGTAGTCGTGCAGCTAGCATTGGCAACTTCAGGAGAGAGCTCAATGCCACCCCACCCTACCCTAAGCGCGAAGAAACCCCGAGGAGCACAAGTGGCTTCAGCAAACTGGCCTTGTCATGCTCTTGCCCCACGGCGCTTCGGCTGCAACTTGTACCCGAGAGCCGAGCTCATCGTTGCTTGTGTTTTGTTTCTGTGCCGTGTGAGTGCTGGTTACGGGTACTGCTGTTTTCAATGATCTCATTTCGGCAACGGGGACAGACAATGACGACGAATACTACGGCAGGTGCTAGCACTACTTGCAGTACCTCTGGTCGAACTAGTCACGTCATCCTTGCTGCAACAAAACAGACGAGTTGCAGACGCTACCCCAAGAGTGCGCGAACAAGAGACACAGTTAGGATGTATTATTGGTCCTGCTGGGCCATGTTTCTTGGAAGTTGGGAGGTGGGGGCTTGGCAACATTCACGACCCTAGAATCGTCTGGAGCTGATTTTGAGGCTACATGGGCCAGGGCGCAGAGCACAGCTCCTGTCGAATTGAGAGATTCCTGCAGAGCAGTGACGACGACGAGGCCTCATGCCCTTAGAGTTTCAACGGGCGCGAGCATCGGGTTGTAGCCTACCCTAAACACTACGGGTCAGAAGCCCCAAATTCCACCAATTCCCAGAGCCTGAGCCTTGAACGCTTAGTCTTATGATCCCTAAACCCTAAACCCTTGCTTGGACCGAGTCGTGAGAGCGTAAACCCTTGCTTGGAGAAGTGTACCAAGTTTAAACCCTTGCTTGGATTGTGTGGAGCCTGCCTCGCGCGAGCGTGAGAGTCGAAACCCGAAGCCGGAGGACGACATCCCGGATTTCAAGGACGGCTTCGGAAGGCGCCAAGCGCAGAAGCCCGGCAGCCTTGTTGCTCAAAATAAAATTAAAGGGGCCCTCCTTGTACCCTCAAATAGGGGGTATATGGTTCCAAATAACGGGTATCTAGATTCGAATAGAGGGCAGATGGAGGGTCGAGGCAACTGAGGGCTTTTCGGTTGGTCTGCTGCATGGAGGAGTATACATACGCACATCTAAACACACAATATATATATATATATTACACGTAAGCTTATGTGCAAAAATGTGGTTTGGGGTTGGAGCGTGTTTTGGCCTTGGCCCCCTGAACCGAGGAAGGCCAACTGGCAGGCCGGCCCTGCAGGTTTTTTGCATTGGCCCAGGGTACGTTAGGAGTCGAAACTCCGGGATCCTTGGGTGTTAGGGTTTAGGACGTTTCGGCTTTGCGTAGTAAGAAGGCCTTTCGTTGTAGCTGCTGAGGTTTTTGCGCCATGGATTACAGTTTGCTCCCAGTCCCTATCAACAGAATTGGTGAGCCCTGGTCCTGTGCGTTCGTTAGTTGGGTCCTCTTGTGGATGACTTGCTCATACTTGCTCGTGGTAATGGCGATAAAGACCGTGGCAGTGATAAAGGGGACGGTGCGCATGTCTGGCAAAGGTGGTGGTAAGTTGCGATCATGATGATGAACAATGAACATGCTGGTGGTTATTTCCATGATTTGACGACTATGAGGCTTGTTGTTGAGAGCAGGATGGATTGGGTCAACTCTGTCTCAGCTTTGTCCTCTTATGCCCCCTGAATATTAAGGGCTGCTTGTGGCCCACATGCCCGCATCTCCAGCGCAGTGGCGTTTGAGTTGAAGAGATCCTAGGATAAGTTAGGCAGGTAAAGGGTGTCTAAGTTAAGATTTCATGCTTTCGGGGTGTTGGGGTTGCATCAAACTGTGCTCATAATCGCATGGAGTACGTTCCGATTTCTTCGCGGTTCGCCGGTGAGGTCATGAACCTCTCCACTCCCGCGAACTACTTCCATGCCCTGCGTCGGCAACAGCATCGGGATTTCAGGCAGGAGCTTGAAACTGACATCGATGTTGAACCCCGTACCATCCAGTACCTCAGGGTTGCGGTCCCGAGCGCTGCAGCATCGCACACCCGAAATACATTGCCCATGCCCGCTTTGCCAACCTAGTGGATAGTCCGAGTTGGGGGAACGCAAATCTGAGCTTTGCATTGGTTTGGAGCGCGCTTGCTAACTGTGTTTTGCCGTAATTACTGTACGTGCAAGTTCGAACCTTACCATGCATGCTTTGCCATCTTGGCCTGTCTTTTGATGCGACTGCTAGACTTCAGCACTTTCCAGTTCAAGACATGTCCGCATTGCGTTAGATACTTGCCTACCTGCACATGCATGTGTATCGGTATATGTATGTGTATGTATTTTATTGTAATCTTTTTGCATGTCTATGCATTGCCGTGCTCGAACACATGCACCATGTCTATATCATACAGTCATGCTGCGAGCTGCCATGATTAACTTCATTGCATGACTTGTTGGGTGGGTGGTATTTTGTGGTCAACGTTTTTTATTGGGCAAAAAGCTGCCCGACCTGGTTGAATTCCTGTCTCCTTTGACCTTGAAACCACTTTCCCCTCCCTCAACCAACAAGACACAACTGCAGCGAATGTTTCGAAGCTTCTGTCTCTCGGCAGTCTTGCTGAATAGCCTACCCAGGCTTGAGCTAGGTCGTCTCTCGATCCAGATGGTGTCCCAATATAGCTCAAATCTCACAAAGCCACAGACCGATCGACACCCCCAAACCTGAACAAACTCTGCAGTACAGGAAGCCGATGGTTGTAGCCTCACCGAAGAATCTGTTCCGCCTGCGCCAGTGCAGTGACCTCGGGAGACGTGTGTGATTCGAGTTTTGGGATGTAGGGTTTAAGAGGCCCAAGAAGATGCTGGCCTGCAGGTATAGGATTTTTGGGTTAGGTGTGGTCTTCTGGCAGTTGGGTGTTGTAGGGCCCTGGGGTTCAGCGTTACACGCCAGAACCAACAGGTGCCATTCTTCACCTGGGTAATTAGGAGCTTTGGGTTTTCCCAGGCCGCAGCCGCCATAACATTTGTAGTGTAGGGTTTGGCTCTGTGCTGAGAGCTCATGATATACACATACTTGCATATACACATACGCGCAGATATACATACATACGTATGCATACATGCGAATACTTACACGCATACATGCATACATACATACCTACATACATACATACATCCATCCATACATCCATGCATGCACATGCACATGCACATACACATACACATACACGCACATACATACATACATACATACATACAGACAGACAGACAGACAGACAGACAGCATGCATGCATGCATGCATGCATGCATGCATGCATGCATACATGCATACATGCATACATGCATACTCTCATGCATACATACATGTATATACATATATGTATGTATGTACATGAATACATAAATAAGCGTGTGTGTGTGTATATATATACATATGTATACATACAGATGTAAGACTTATATATATATATATACACACATATATATATATATGTATGCCTGCCTGTTTGCTTGCTTACCTACCTACCTACCTACCTACCTGCCTACCTGCCTACCTGCCTACTTACCTACCTACCAGCTACCTACCTACCTAACTACCTACCTACATACATACATAGTCATGCTTAGTTACTTACTTACGTACAGATATACATACTGACATTCGTACATTTGCCATAGGTACATACATACATACATACATACATACATACATACATACACACATACATACGTACATACATACGTGTACATATATCTATATAGAGAAAGAGACAGAGAGAGAGAGATGCTGATATATACATCTACACACACACACATATATATATATAAATGTATATATATATATATACATACATTCACACACACACATATATATATATATATGCATACATATATATATATATATACGTATATCTGTCTGTGTGTGTGTGTGTGGTGTTGTGTTGTGTTGTAGCACACTATGTCACTATGTACATGTTACCTCTGCAAGCTCTGGTTCGACAATCAAATCAGGTTTTTCGTAACTGAAAAGGTGCCCACTCTCCAGAATTCGAGGGCAGTAGCCCCAAGCCACTCCCGTTGGCCGACCACTTAGGCGTGAGCCCCATTTCTGACATGGAGGCACGGACCCTTCATGGATGTGGTTAGGGATTCAGAAAAGATTCCCAAAAGCAACATCAAATCATGATTGAAATTGTATCTAAGCACCGCTAGCCAGCAGATTTTTTATATGCGATTTTTTGATTTCTTATTGAGCATAATACCCGATTTACTGCCTTGTCTGATACGGGAGTCATGGGTGGTGCCCGCGGTTCTTGGACCCCCAGTGACATGGCCAAGACGTTAAACGTAAGTACAGGGAACGCGAGAACTACCCCACAAGCTGGGCTGGAGGATTTAAGGCTATCGACTTCGTGTGTTCTTGGAAGAGTGCCGTCCGTTGGAGAAGTTAGTGTGGAGGCCTCCCGTACGTCAAATTCTCGAGACTAGACCGTGTACAAGAATGCCTTTTGCAAAGAGAAAGGGACAGAGAGAAAGACAGAGAGGCAGAGAGCCGGATGTCTGTTCAGGGCTGAGTGGTTGAACAGCCAAAGTCCCTCTCATCAACCGCGGCAGCGCCTGCAACGCGACCTGTGCCCCTAACAACCGCAACCTCAACACCCGAAAGAGAGCCAACGAGACCGAATACGAGCGCTAGAATAACTCCACTTCGACCCTGAGTTCCTGCGGCCATGTGCTTCCCAGAATTGCTTTTGACGTAGGAGAAGAGCCATCAGATAATCGTTAAAACAATAGGTAAGAATAACAAAAATGCAATAGAATGTAGTACTCCTATTAATAATACTATAGATTGTATATATACAAATATATATAAGAGGGCTGCGGAGAGCCATGAAGTCTCTCCGGCAAAGCTGCATCGACCACGGTTCAGTGATTGGGGCGGTTGCGGGTCCGGGGTCATCAAGCCCGCCAGCGCCAAACATAAAGCATTAGGGTTTCGGGTTGAGGGGTTTAGGTTTAGTTCAAGAAGGGGTTTAGGTCTAGGATGAGTTCAAAACGGGGTTTAGGTTTAGGGTTTAGGATGAAGCATCGAAGAAAATTGTTAGATACAAACCTTTTCGCCAGGCAGACACGCGATTTCAGCGCCTCATCGGCGAGAGAGACCCGGAGATTGCTGGCAACCCGGACAAGGCGCAGAGTCTATACATCGGCTCCTGCAGCTCTTGTTGCCCAATGACTTCTCACGAGTTTCTTAAGCTTGTCAATTCCGACAGAACGGGCTATAAACCCTAAGCCTTAAGCCCTAAACAGGGTGGTTTTGGCCGCCTCAGATCGCAGGGTGAGCTTGCAACAGCTCGTCGCCCTTCATCTTTAAGCTGTTCTAGACTCCTGAAGCCTAAACCCTCAACCCTAAACCTAAACCCTAAAAACCTAGATCATCCTTCCGCTCCTCCATGTTCCGGAAGCAGGTGGAGCGTCTGATCTTCTGTAGCGGAAAGATCTACTACGAGCTGGTGGCCGAGCGAGAGAGGCCTTTTGGGTTTGAGGGTTTTGGGTTTTGGGTTTGGGGCCAAGTTTGGGGCTCTCAAAGCTAAACCCTAAACCCCAAACCCTAAACCCTGTATTCATGGTTTAGGGTTTTCTGGTTGCGGTTGAGGGCTCTGTACTCTATGCACCCGGGCAGCCGAAGAGTGTCCTAAGTTTCAATAGATGCGGCCCTTGGGTAGTTTGGTATTCCAGGCCCAAGCTTTCAAGAACCCCCCCCCAGAACTTGGGGTCCTCGTGCCCTGAGGATGTAAGTTTAGAGTTCTTGAGGTTTAGGGTTTAGGGTGGCTTGAGTGTTCCATGAGGTTTGGGATGTTGGTTTCGCCCTTCTTGTACATTTTCCGGCCTGAGGCCTCAATGGTGCTAGGGTTGAAGGCTTCTGGGTCACGGTTACCCTGACTCAAACTGGTTTCGTTGCTCCGGCTGAGTCAGATAGTTACAAGACAGAAATCCGCGGGACGCAACATGGCGTAGTAGTTCGGACTTGAGGAGTCACCTGGCCTTGTGGTAAGATACAGAAGCCTGAACACTCGCCACTGTTATCCCTTAGGGCTCCGTATCAAAAACGGCATGGTAATAATTATACCCAATTTTTCCCAAACCCAACTCTATCCGTTGAGAAAGTACATAAGGGCCCTATATAATTTCGGTGGGCTCTGGTAGTCTTCAGAGATTCTAAATCTAAACCCTAAGATTCCCTACTTGGAGGTTCATGGGTGGTTATAAGTGGGGCTATAAGTCCCCTAATATGGCTTATAAGTATAGTTACCCTACTTATAACCCCACTTATAGCTACCCATGAACCTCCAAGTACCGAAAGCCGACATGGTGAGAAGGCTCGGCCTGAAGAATGTGGCCATCGTCACCATCGAGCAGCTCGCTCCCTTCCCCTTCGACCGGGTGAAGCAGGTGCAGAGTCCAGGGCTTCAGGCTTTCTAGGGTATAGGGTTTGTGCAGGGTTTAGGGTTTTACGGTTTAGGGTTTTAGGGTTTAGGGTTTTCTTAGTCCGACAGCGTAAGGTTGTGGGGTGTAGCAGCTTAGGACTTTGGACTTCGATTTGGACTTCGAGGGGTTTGCTCTCTGATTGCTGGGAGTGTCGAAGGTGGGCGATGAGCCAAGACGACTTTGGGACTCTGGAGGGCATGTAGACGGAACTGGTACCACATAGCGGCTTGCAGATGAGAGTGTGCGGGGCATCTTCATGTCGGAGAACGGAGTCTGCCCCCTAAACACCCGAAACCAGACCCCTCACTCGATTTCTTCCGCAATTGATGCGACCTCACCTGCCTACCTCGCCCCAGGTTTCCGAACTCAGAGCCCAAACAGTGATCTTCTGCGCAGTGAAAGTCGATCTGGGTTTCAGGACGACTATGACTTTCGGCTACCGGAATTGCCCTCAGGGCCTTCCGCGCCCGGCACTATGACCTCGCAAAACCCATCTTGCTTGAGTCCCGCAACCAAGCCACAACCCAAGCTACACCCAGAGCATGAGAGACGGAATAGTTTGTCGAGGTCATGGCAACCTACAAAAACGTGGATGCTGGAGATGGCGTTCATCCCGGGCAGTTCGTGTGGTGCCAGGCCACGTGTGCCTTTTACCAACGCTCATACCATATGGGTCGGAATAAGATGTTGTCCTCAAGAATGTACCCAAAAAGCCCTATACTAATAAATGAAGGCCCCTCAATTAGGTCCAGATTTCCGGATTGTTGATTTGGAGTTTGTGGTTTGCTGCCCATTCTCTGACCGAACGGAGTCTTGTAGAAACTTCGACCTCAAACGCTTTCAGCGCTTTCCCGGAGAATTTAATTTAGAAGCACTATTACAACTGCAATCTTTATTCATAGACTGCCATTTGCAGACTATTGGGACAGCCTCGTGAATGACCGTTTTTGGTCCAGGAGGAGCCGAAAAACATGGGCCCTTGGACCTACGTGCGCCCCCGCTTTGTCGGTTGGCCCAGATTCAGTGTCAGGGTCTGTGGCTGTAGGGCTTTAGGGTTTCGGCCGTCGCTTTTGGTGCGTAGTCAGTTTAATGTGTTTGTTTTTTAAGGTTTCGGGTTTTGGGGCTTAGGGTTCATAAGGCTAGTTTAGGTTGCAAAGAGGGTCCCTGCTGTAGGGTTACCGGTGTATTCAGGGTTCACTCCGGAACCCTCAACTGTCAACCCAACACTCGTAACCCTGAGCTGAACGGCTGCACCCGGAGCCATCCCCACCAAGCATTGAACGCCTCATCTACGGAATTACACCGGAAAGCAGATTCTCACACCCCGACTCCTCAACTCCATCCACCCTTGAAGCGCAAATCCCAGAATGTCAAGTTCAGATTGCAGCGAAACAGGCACCAAGCGCTGAAACCTTCACGCCCAAAACGCAAAACTTTAAAACCGCGAAGCCTTAAAAGGAACAATCACACTGTGGGCTAAACTTCTTTTTAGCCAGCGTAGCTAGCCGAGAGTTCAGGGTTTCCCCGTGCAATGTCCGGAGTGTAGAGCTGAAAGTTATCGGGCTTCTCTATACAGGGCATCTTCGGATTTAGGTTGGATACTGCCCCCACTCAGTAGCAGTTGAGTAATGTATTCATAATATGGATATATAAGGTCCTTAATAGTAGCCCTTATTATAGACTGTTACTGTATGGGGGCCAGTACCCAAGATTTAGTGTGCATTTTTGAGACCTGTAGGGTGGCTTGCGAGCCTCGGAGCAAAGCTGTGCCTCGAAAGGGTTCTGGGCTTGTGAGCTTCAACCTTGTGGGATCAGAAGGTGGTATTTTTGAGAAGTTCGTTTTGAAAGATATACTGTGTACGGCTAAGAATAGGTCTTAGGTGTTTTATGGTTTCGTGTTAAGCCAGAGGTTGTATAGGATTTCAGATCTTGGCGGCAACACAGTTCCTGTTTTTATTATCTAGGCTCTGGATCTGCAGGCTTGATGGCCTTGCAATATCTTGCAGAGCAGAATGTACAACACCGTTGCCTTCCTCATCGCGGTCTGCATTTTCGTCTGATCGCACCACTTTCGGTGTCATTCTCTGCCCCATCTATCGCCATCCCAGCAGTGAGCCCTGAGCCCATGAAATCGACCGTCCAAGGTGACGACAGCCCGCGAGGGCTTTGACACGGACCGTTGGTTGGGTTTCGGGCAGTTTAGGGTAAGGGGGGGCTGGGATTCTGGATAGATAGTTTTGAAATCTCAAGAGTGCAAGGTTTATAGGGCTTATGAGGTTTGCACCGGTGTTATGAATTACTTTTGCAGATTTCGGGACAGGGGTGCTGCTCGAAGTGGAGTTGTGGGAGGTTCAAGCAGGCCCAAACAAATGAGCCTCCCCGACCTGTGCTCGAAGCTGCAAGTCTCACCAATACCATGTCGGAAGTCTCGAATGACCTGTCTTCAGTGACAGGAACGCACATGTCCTGTGGCTCAAGCCTCGGGCTAGCGGAAGAGGGCGCGGATCCCAGCCATGACGTTTGCCCTTTTTGGGGAGACCTCGTGTGAGACGGTGACATGCGCGATTTGCCACAAGCAGGTGCGCGCTGGACTGCTGCCTAACCACCAGGACACTTCTGCACGCCCGGGGAGGGAACTCACAGCTCAAGCCGTTTCGTCCCAAAGACAGTTGCAAGCTGGTGATCCCAACCATGCTGATCATCTTCTGTGTGGAGCCAGGGTTTCCGTGTCTGGCACGCAGCTCACGAAGCCTTCATTCACCCAGATACCATGCCCCTGGCTGGCCGAAAAGCATACCAAGCCCTGAAGCTTTGCATTCCGAACTACAAAGGCCAATGAGACATCAGCGTGACATCAGTCTGTGGTTTTACCGTATCGACTTGCCTGGACTCCTTGACCATCCTTGACCTGAAGACCCATCCTCAAGCCTCAAAGCCCTGCAAAAAAGCCTCAAGTCCTAAAGACAGGAACGATGCTACATGCTTTGCGAGCTTCGCGCCTGGAGGGAGCGTGAGTTCTGTCGGGAGAATGCCGAAGCCGACAAGGCTGAGGGACGCGTTGCATCAGAATAGAAGGGTCTCAATAACTTGAATATAGGGGCCTCAGTAATTCGAACAGAGTTATACACCCCTTGTAAGGCGGACTAAAACAGGATACTGTTGCTAATTCTCTTATCCGGATATTGCGTAGAACATCGTGGAACAGTTATACAATGACGTATGTCTTTGAAGGGTCCGTTTGTTGCTCACGTCGGAGTTTGCATTAGCATGCTACAGAACATAAGCTGTGGTAACTCATCCATAGGCAATCACGTTGGTTATAGTGAGGATGGTTGCTGTTGCTACTATAATGTTATTCCTTGTCCTGGCTGCTGCAACAGTGCAATGGCTAAAGTTTCTGGTCTCGACAATGACTTATTGTCAGTTGTCGTTACTGGTGTAAGTACGAAACTTGGTGTTCATTATGTGCTAATGTGACTATCACAGCGGCCCATAGCGACGGGTATAGCGAGCCCAACAGCAGCAAGGTCAGACGGCACAGAGGTGATGTCACGAAGCGAAGTGTGATTCGGGTGAAGAGTGACATGCAGACCAATCTTGAACCTATACTCCTCGCACCAGAACAGGCCCACAAAGACACTCACACCCATCAGGTAAAGATGAAGAAGGATGCAGCGACATCTTGTCTCCGTATGTCCTGGAGCCAGGCAGCTCGGCACCGGCTTTGCGTTCTATTAAAGCTTCAGGTTATAAGCGTTAGCAAAGGTTGTAGGTTCTGCTGGGAGCCAACGCATTGCGCTTTCAGCATAGTAAGGGTCATGCAATCCCGAAGTTTGAAACCCCAAATGCGAAGTGCCTGCCAAGTGCCTGAGCGTGCGAGTCGAAACCCGAAAGCTTCGAAGCCCAATAAACTCGAGTACCCTAAGCCCCATAAAAGCATGACACGCCTTTTACGCCTTACCCGGAGGTCCCCTCTCCGCGCTGCACTGGGGATTCCTTCCTGAAGGAATGCCCGGGCTGCGGGAAGCAAATGTTGTCGCACAGCCTGCGCTACCATCAGAGCAGGTGGGGTTCCTCTCATGTCCGCAAACCCTGTCAGATAACACCCCGGCATCCCTACAAAGTGTGAATTTTCTGAACATCGTCCTCTGTTCGAAGCCATAAGCCTCAGCCCTGAGAGGCAAAGAACCCCTCCTATCCGAAGCTTTGGGCCCCCAGAGGTGCCCAGCAGCTGCGACCACACAGGCCGCGGCCACAAAGCAAACTGGCGACGCCCAAGGGAGCCCCAAAGTTGCAAGGTTTGGGGTTGTTCAGTTTAGGGTCAGTCCTGTAAAAAAGGGACTGCAGGGCTCTAGGATATAACATAAGACAAGCGTGTGTACGCACAGGCTTACACAGGGGTGATTTGTATGGACGATCAAGAATTCAGGCGTTTCTTCATGCCCGGCTCGCCCAGGCAAAGCCCTCTTGACACCTCGCCCACGGTCGGCCTCGCCGAGCTCTTCGCCGAACTCCAGCCGCCGCCAGTCCTGGGCAGACGTCACGCTGCTCAGAAGCACTTTCCCAGAGACCTCGACATCGCTCACTTATTAATAAAGCTATTAGGTTGAGCCTCACAGTCATAATATGATTCAAGATATAATTTTGATATGCCTGCAGGTAGTGGTTGTGGAAACTCAGGGGCATTATTCTGGATCAATGAAGGTTCCGTGTTTGGCCCCGGCAGCTTCATACTCTCTTCATGTTGGGGCAAGCCTTCTCCAAGTACAGAGCCGCATCTGGAAGAGAAAAGCTCGATTGTCGGTCGTAGCTTGTTATTGGCTCGGACGCCATGTATACGCGCAAAACCGACATGCCGATTCCATCGGTAATCATCGGTATCTACGGTGTTTTCCTTACTGCATGTGCCGAATAAATGTATCTTTGCCGTCGTCCCATAGCGTCACTTTCATGTTCCTCATCTTCCCTTCTGCAAGTTTGCTTTGTGGTCCTGCAAAACATGGCTTTTGTCCCACGCCGGCCACGCGAAAGCAAACAAAAGACACATGCTTCTAACATTTGCGTAGACCACTTGCCCACGTCGAAAATGCACATTTTCTCTTGAAAATGTTGTTCCCGCAAAAACAAAAACAACAGGCAAAGAGACCATGTTCGAGACTTCTGCGTGCGAAACATGGTTTTGTCCCATGCAGGCCACGTAAACGCATGTCCCAATTTCGTTTGTCAACACGCATGTTGCCGAAGCGTGATGGCACTCAGATGCATCCCCTGGTTGCCGCGCGAAGCCTCCATCCCTAACGGACCCGAACCAAGAAACGAAAATCACCAAAACCCTACCCCTCCCCCCTACCTGCCTTGCGCGAGTGTGAGAGTGGAAATAAATTGCAATGCCGCAAATCCGCAAATCCAGGTGATTCGATTTCTGAAGCCAAGAATGGACTGCAAGGCCCTAAACCCTAGACCCACACCCCAAGCCCTGGTGCCCCAAAGGCCTGCCTCGACAAATTGCAGCTCCGTTCTCTTGGTCGAGCTAGTGGGGATGGTTAGATCCTATCAAAAGATAGCAAAGTAACATAAAATGTAGCCCCACACCATGACCCCCAAGACGAGATGCAATTCAAGGTCTAGGCAGACTCTCAAATTTAGAAGTCGTCAAAACTCCCGATACGTCGCGTCGACGCCATAAGCCCTACAATCCGTATAAGCCTTAAGTACCCCAAAATGCTGTACACACTAAGACAAATTCGACACCTGAGCCTCAAACGAGCCTGCATCACAACCCCAGTCCTGAAATCCTTACACCCCGAAACCTGCCCCCACCCAGAGACCTTCACTAAAGCATCTAAAGCCTAAGCCCGAAACCCTATAGTGACACCCGGTGCAAGATGTGCAAGGCCTCCGCGGTCTGCCCGCGGCCCTTGCACCGTGCAGTGCCAGCGATGTGGGCGCCAGGTATGCTCCCTTGGTTTCTATAAGTGTACGTTCTTGTGGGTCGGGGGGGGGATGGTCGACGGTTTTTTTTGCCGTGGCGGGGTGGGGGGGCGGGGGGTTGGCTGCAGCCTATAGCTGTATGGCTGCTTGCTTGTGCTTTCAGGATATGCTTCCAAGCCCGGTGCTTCTGACAGAACCTGGGCCTTTCTCATCGGTATCATTGGTTGTCAGGATTTCCCTTTTGAGCGTTGCCTTTGAAGATCAACCGACGGGCAAGCATCGTAAAACCTTCATCATGCCAGAGGTTCTTTAATCGAGGAGCATTCCACAAATTGGGAATGCCAGGCCAGGCATGCATGTGCACTGCTGGAGGTGCTCCGCACCTCGCTGCAGCAGCATGAAGCACGCTGCCGGCCCGAGACTACTCCAAAGGAAAGCAAGGGTGGCGTGGAAAGACCTTCAGTGATTGTTTGAACTTCTTATTGCAATACGTTTTACAGCGTGAGCAGATGAAACGAAAGCAATCCTAAGATTTTGGAATGTTTGCTTTGCTAGTGGCGTCATACCCAAATCACTGGACACTCGTCGCTTGCATGTGCCTAGGCCCAGGCAATCCTTACCGGCGCGCTTCGTGGTCGGACGTCTCTGCGCCGAAGGTCGCGCGTCCCTCCTGCCACGCCCCGTCGCCGACGGAGAAGTGCCCTTCCTGTCATCGCTATGTGGCATGCAGTGGCCTCCAGGCCCCCGCCGTTTCAGAACCTTCACATACTAGTGTTTACTGCGAATATTCCACATCACAGGCCGGGCGTGCCTCTTGTTGCAATAACTGGTTGAACACAGCACTGCTAGAGCATCTACTGCTATAGGAGTCGACAGTGTTATTCACTCATAACCCCTTTTATCCTTATTCTAGAGCATGTGCAGAAAAGCATATGCAAGGCTGGCGCAGAGGAGAGCGAGACAGACTCCCCTCAACTTTGGGTTTATGGTATTTCCAAATCCAACACTGTATGTATTCTACATAAATGCCCGTTTGCTAAAGCCCATATACCCAGAGTTTTCCTGCTTGAGTAGCTGGGTCTTCAGCAGAAGGGGCTCAGATCCAGTTCGTGTTCTCCCATAACTTCTAGCGACCAGCTGTCTTGACAGCATGGTGTAGTATAGTATAATAGTTAGTATAGTATAGTATATATAGTATAGTAGAGTATACTGCGAAGAGTGAGAGTCGTAGCCTGGCCAGGCCCATGTCCAGCGCTGCCAGAAGTTGAGCCGGCGCTTCGAGGAGATGCAGAGACATCCGACGCTTTTAGGATCCCGAGCTTCGAGTGACAAAGCCTCCGCCACGCCGAAGACCTCGTCGCAAGCGCAAAGCTGATAGGTTTAATAGGTTTGATTGGGGCTGGAGGGTCACCGTCTCCGAACCCAGCACCTTGAAACACACTCTCCGGCACTGGGTAAGCCAGTCCGAGGTTTGCGATCTGTTGTTCAGGGTTCCAGGGGTTTAGACGGCGATTGCGTGGATACAGGGGGTTGGCTCGGGGCCTTGCGGATACGGAGGCAGGGATCAAGCATCATAGGATAGGGTGTGGGGTATCTATTTCGGGATCCGTACTTGAAGCAGGTGCATTGTTTCGGAAAGCAAGAGGTAGGTGATACAGGTGAGGTCGTGAGTGAATGACTGCGTTTGCTCTAGAATCCTGTTTAATGTGAGTATTTGTGTTAACGCTGAGGCTCTGAGCAACACTCCCGCGCGAAAGGTAGCACCTTCCCTGTATGTAATAGGGTAAAGACGTCATACTGGGAGTTTAAAGTGTGCTTTGGCATCGAATCGAACTCGCGAATGATGTAAGCTAACCCTGTCTCCGCCTGGCCGTAAGCAAACGACAAGGAAAGGTACGGGGAAAGAAAGCAAGAAGCGGGGATCGGAAGAAAAACGCTAATTTGCCTAAATTTGCCTGCACCGTGATGCAAGGCATCACTTCGAGACTTGACTCCTGCTCCTTCTTGGTACTTGACCGCGGTAGAGACATGTATGCCACGCGCCAGCAGCATTGAAGCTCATGAAATGGAACATCACGAACAACCTTTTGATGACATCATGCTTTTGATGTCTGACTGTGGCGCGCCTTTGCCCCCTAGATACTGACAGAACGTGCATGGAAGGAGGGGGGCGGGGGGGTCCGGCGCGAGCAGAATCTGGTCATTGCAGAGGGGGTGACGAGGTGGGGTTCCTTGGGAACTTCTGACCGCTTCGGCCGGGGCCGAGGCGAATTACCATTCTTACTTCATTCAGCGTCTGTAGCACGGAGGATGTTTAGATGGACATTCTTGAATGATAGTCCTGGGTCGCCTTTGTAGAGAATGGCCTGTGGGATTCTTCGGACCAGCGCGTCGTTTGAGTTCTTCGGGCAGGGACAGGGCACCCGGTCAGCTGAACCCTCGAGTGAAGCAAGCTTCGACACAGCCGTTCGACTAATTGACAACATCCCCGAAACTCTGTCTGTAAAGGGCATTCGATTGCTGTGGGCTGTTGTGTTTTTTCGGCCTGTAGAAACGACTCGGATTGTGCTGCAACGTAACTGCAAAACAGCTCGAGCCGGAGAAAACACCCGCCTCCGCCATACAGGCAGCGTATGTTGAGTATTTGCAGAGTGGTTCTTATTGGCAGAATACTCACTATATTTCGTAGTACGACTTAGGAAGCGTAAGGGGTCTTCGGGGCATATCTATGAGAATCAGAGAGGGCTGGACTGTACCATATGGGCGTGTTTCTAGCTCCAGACAACGCATTCATTCAGGCTTTATAGTCATCGCACATGGTGCTTTTGCTGATGTTCGTGGTGATAGTTCTTATTGTTGTTCATTTACTGTTGCTACTTCGCATTCCTGTAACATGGCAAGTCTCTAGCAAAGACAGCTTCTTCACTTGGAGGAAAGGCCGCAGGTTTCACAAATGATGCCGACAAGAGCAAAGTCGTCATGCAGCGGGACCGATGCTTCGGAAACTCGAAAGTCAAGGTAGCAGTCGCAGCAAGAGCAGTAGTAGTATAGTCTAGTAGTACTCGTCGTCGTCGTCGTAGCAGTAGTCTTGGTGGATGTTGTGGTGGTGGTGGAGGTAGCGGTAATGGCAGCCGAAGTAGGAGGAGTAGAAATTGGAACGAGAGTAGCCGCAGCTGTAGCTGCAGCAGCAACAGCAGCACGAATCGATTAGTGGCGGCAGTGGACGTTTGATCTGTAGTTGTAGAAGCGGAGCAAAGCATCGCTCTTGCTGCATGTGAGCTGAGAGCGCGATAACTCTTTTAGGAGCCGTCGCGCTGTACCAGCTAGCATCGGAGTTCTGACGGGAAGGGCCTGCATGTGTGGCAGTTGTCTTCTACTGGTGCTGGGTGCATTCAAACCTATGGACTGGCGCTGTCAAGAACCAGGGGCTTCTAAGTCAATTTCTTGCATGAGCAGCGCAGCGCTTGTACGGAACATGGACAGGGTTCAGGGCTTCGGAGCTACATGGCTTAGGTTAAGGCATTATAATTAGGTGACTGAGATCTTTCAAAAGTGGGTGCTGCATTGCATCCGCCCACAGCATGCCTGCATCTGAGAGAGATGTGGTGAGCAGCCTTAACATGCGATGCTCCAGCTGATTCGATTGGCGCGCAGGCCATGAGCAACCCAGCACCCCACTCTTGGACCTCATACTGAACACCGGAATAAATTAAAAGCTGAAGCGTGCCATGCCACAGATACAGACTCCTCAAAACCCTGAAGAATCAGAAGCCTCAGGAAAAAACAGCCCTCAGCCCGAACCACTAGCCAATTCGCTTGAGACTCCATCCCTTCTTCGTTTCAAAGAGACACGCCAAACGAGTCAGAGGTGAGGTGAACTTGCAGCCAGCAGCTCACACAAAAAGCTCTGCGAGCCGAGGGTTCAGGCTTCTTAGGCTTAAAGGGGGGGTTGGAGTTCAGATGTTCAGGGTTTTGGGGATGCTGGGGTTTACCATACTGTAGGGTTAGGGGTCTCCGCTGTTCTGCGACATCCGCCGCACACCAAGTCTAAGTGAGTTGCGCCTTTTTACAAGCACTACATACCTGCTCAGGCTGCTAGATGCATCGTGCGTCCCAGGTCGACTGCGGTGAAGCTGATGGNNTTTGATGGGGGGGGGGGGTTGGAGTTCAATTATGTTTGGGGTTTTGGGTTTTATTGGGTTTTGGGTTTTGCCAATCTGTAGCTGTTTAGGGACTCCGCTGTTCTGTGACATCCGCCGCTGCCGCCAAGTCGAAGTGAGTTGCCGCACGCTACAAGCACTTGCTAGGTACACCGTGCGTCCCATGTCGACTGCGCGATGAAGCTGATGTAGACAGCAGTGGGGGATGTGGTTTTCCAGAATTCTCCCTTGCCGCCGCGACACCCTCGATTTCTTCCTCTTCCCACTTTCGGGGCTGCAGTTGAGGGCTGGAGGTT